GTTATTATGATTATTATTATTATTTGAGATCCTCTCCGAATCTGAGATGTTTCGTCCGGGTGATATTGATCATATCTCAGCTCTTATTCGCAACTTAGAACCATAACACTTTACTCAGTACATGAGCTGTTCCGTGCAGTGTTGCCACCCGCAAGCTCCGAGTTATGCCAAGTATCCCCAAGACGTCTTAGTAAGATTCCTGGAAATAATGCTGTATTTGTCAGCCACAAAAGGGACAACTTTTTTGCTTTAACAACGTTTATGCGTAACTATTTTTGGCTACTCTCGTGTACAAGATTCTTAACATTATAAGATTGTTATTATTTCTATAATGCAGTAACTGCAATGATATCTGATGCAATAACTGCAACTGTTAATACAATTGCATTCGGAAACGGTTATTATCAATTTGTTTTAAATTTATTATTCAAGTATCATCATCATTAATACCGTAATCATTATCGTTGCCTTTGTAGCAAAATATTGTTACTTTATTTCCTTTTTTTTTTTTTTTTTTTTTTTTTCAAAAATAAACCGCACTTCAATTCCTTCTGTAAATTCCCGCCGGTTTATCCCGCCGTTTCCGCGTGTGTCGACGTCACGCTCTATTACCCGAAACCATTGGTGTCATATTCGGCATTTTCTGATTTATAACCGAAAACAAATTGAAAATTCGACGAAAGAAAGAAATTGGCGATATTTCCAATGAGAAATTAAAAAAGAAAACGGAAAGAATATTTTAAAGAGGCTAATTGGGGTCAATCTACAATGCCGACTGCTAATAAATGTAAGAAAACAAAACAAAAAAAAAAAAAACATTTTGTGGGGACTATTTTTTTTAATCTCTAAATCTTTAATGTATTTACCAATTCAGTTATTTTAATCTGCAATTTATTTATCAATTCAACATTTTAAAATCCCTGTTGGGAAAGACATTAGAATAATCCAGTATATATACAGTGAAAGGACAGTTTGCATACAGATAGAAAATAAATTAAGTACTCAAAATTAAAAAGGACGTAAGAAAAGAATGCGTTTTCTTAGCGGATTTCACAAGGAGTTACTATTGTTGGGCCCAGTCTTAAATTGGCTAGTTGTGCTCCCCATCGCAAACGGTCTTTTTAAAATATTTTTGTTTATACTAAAGTTCACTCATTACAAGTCCCGAGAGCCACTTAGGTTAGCAATTTACTTCTTTTTTTTTTACAATGGCGTTTACCCTGTATAAGGACCAAGAACCACTCGAAGTAGAGTAAGAAGCCCATTTTATGTGAATAGGTGGGGAAGGTAACGGTTAACCCTAAACTTGAACTGATTAAAATTATGGTGATTGAGAAAACATCCTCTTGGGAGTCGGTTCCAGAGAGCAGTACTCGAGTGGAACTTATTTCTCGCCAACGGAATACTGAAGGAATAAGAGTGATTTGCTATGTGGCTGGACGAGTGCCTGCTGTGAAGGTTCTAACTGGCTGAACTAAGGAATGCAGTTCGTCCGCACACTTACCATGGAAATAGCAAAAAAAGCAGTGAGAGATTTGGTACATCCTATCTGTGAGAGAGGGGTTGCAGGGTAGAAAATAATTTGTCACTCACAAGGACACAAAGAGGTTTTTGGACTCTATCGAAACTGGAAAGTGAGGACTGGGCAGCTCCCGCCCAAATATGACAGCAGGCCTGAGCTGGCTATTGTAAAGATAGAAGATATCACGAGAAGTCAGGTACTCACTGAAAAGGTACAAGGAATCGACCATTTTTAATTATAATGATGAATGAGTTTTGTAATATGACTGAAAGAGGAGATGGCAGCAAGTGGAGATTATGAGAAAGGGGAGGACAGATAACGATTGACCATTGACTTGAAGAGGTTAAGATTTTTTATGGTTCACGTTAGGACCAAGGAAGAACAACACGAACACAAGAGTAGAAATAACGAAGGTATATTACACGAAATAATAATACAATATGTGGAAGGTGTTAGTATGACTGTCAGTCTGGTTTGGTGTGAACTATTATCGGCTCGACTCTATTCGGTATCTAGCCACCCCCCAACGAGGGTTTCACGAGCCCGTAGGCTCGGCCAAAAAATGCCCGTAGAACCCGTATAAACAGAATCGAGTTGGTCAACCTCCCCGAACGAGACTCTGCCCTTCGGTGGAGCCTCGTCCGGGTTCCCTCTCTGCTCAGAGGCAGAGAGTTCGACCGTCAAGCCGAGAAGCTCGGATTGATTCGTCCCTCTCTCTTGAGAGGCGTAGTACACATAGTGTTAGGAAGAGTTCATTCTGTAGTTATAGGTAAGGACCCATGACAAGATTGAAGATTTTAGGGAGTCTCTTTCACAACATAGCAGTTCTTGGGAAAATGTAGTCTGAATGAAGATTATTCCTTAGGTTTGGAATACGGAGAAAATGAGTGGGTGACGAATTCTTTTCTACCCTGCAATCCCATTCTCACGTGCCAAAATGTCGCAAGCCTCTTCTTGCTCTATTGCTATTTCCATGGAAATGTCCAGATGAACAACATTTCTTAATTTCACCAGTTCTAACCTTCCCGAATAAAACCCGCCATGCCGTGTATATTCGTAGCGAACCACCTTCATTAGCTTCCTATTTCAATGGTGAGATCTAAGTTCCACACGAGCAGCTTCTTCCTACGAACCATTGCCTTGTGGAACCGACTCCTAAGAGGATACTTTCCCGATCACTACAATATTAGGGGCACAGAATTAATTTCAACTTCACCCACTGAGACAAGAATGAGTCCGAATTTTTATTGTCGATAACTTAAAAAAATTTTTTCAACATTTCTTTTCCAATTAAGCATGAGCATTTACACCTAAATGGAACTATTCGGGAATTTTTTATTAGAAACAGACAGTTCGCGTGGCTTGAACTGCAAATTACCCTCAAGTTGAAATTATTAGGTTGGTGCAAAAATAATGACGTAAGAATGTCGTTTTTTGACGTTAAAAAATACGTCAAAAAACGACATTATTACGCCATTATTTTTGTACCAACCTAATAGTTCTGTCACCACAATATTAACCTGTTCGTCTAGGGTGAACCGTTATCTTACCTACATATCCCTATAAATTGTGTCTCTTACTTTGTAACCCTCTACCTAATGTGGCTCTTGGACCTTGTACGGGGTGAACATTATTGTAAATAAAAGTTGTTTCAGGCTACGAGTGTGTTCATGGGCCCAGAAATTTTAGGTGTTTCATTCTACTCAATAGGAATTATCAACAAAACTAATTCGCTGTCAAAATGCCAATGCGAACTGGCAAAAATAAATACATAAATAAGAGAAGAATGGTTAACCTAATGCCGATTTCTTTCTTTCTTTCTTTATTTCATTCTTTCTTTCTTTCTTTCTTTAATTCATTCTTTCTTTCTTTATTTCATTCTTTCTTTCTTTCTTTCTTTAATTCATTCTTTCTTTCTTTCTTTCTTTAATTCATTCTTTCTTTCTTTATTTATTTATTTCATTCTTTCTTTCTTTATTTCATTCTTTCTTTCTTTCTTTATTTCATTCTTTCTTTCTTTCTTTAATTCATTCTTTCTTTCTTTATTTCATTCTTTCTTTCTTTCTTTATTTCATTCTTTCTTTCTTTCTTTCTTTCTTTCTTTCTTTAATTCATTCTTTATTTATTTATTTCATTCTTTCTTTCTTTCTTTCTTTCTTTATTTCATTCTTTCTTTCTTTATTTCATTCTTTCTTTCTTTCTTTATTTCATTCTTTCTTTCTTTCTTTATTTCATTCTTTCATTCTTTCTTTCTTTAATTCATTCATTCTTTCTTTCTTTCTTTATTTCATTCTTTCTTTATTTATTTATTTCATTCTTTCTTTCTTTATTTATTTCATTCTTTCTTTCTTTCTTTATTTCATTCATTCTTTCTTTCTTTAATTCTTTCTATCTTTCTTTCATTTATTCTTTCCTTCTGTCATTCATTCTTTCTTTTTTATTTATTGCATTCTTCTTTCTGTTTTTCATTCTATCTTTTATTCTCTCTTTCTTTCTTTCTACCCTGCATTTTTTCTTTCATTCTTTATTTATTTATTGCATTCGCTATTTATTTATTTAATTAATTCTTTCTTTCATTCATTCTTATTTTCTGTCTTTCATTTTCTTTCTTTTTTTTTATTTATTGCATTCTTTATTTCTGTCCTTCATTCTATCTTTCGTTCTTTCATTCATTGTTTCTTTCGTTCTGTCTTTCATTCTTTCTATGGCGTTAAATTCCTTTTCAGTTAACGCTGGTATTCGGTTTCATTCACAACACAACATGTCCTTTCAGTTTTGTCGACAACCCCTCTCTCGGATCTAAATCTAATTTCAAATTTACAAAAACGAATGACTTCCGTTTGTTTGCTCCAAACACATTTTCCATCGTAATAGCGCATTGCTGTAAAAATCAATCCTTATCTCGAAGTCTGTAAACAAAGTTCGAATTCTACTCACAGCTGTTATTATCAACTTCACGGAAATAGCCATAAGACAAACTTCGATCCAATGCACATTAATAGAGTTCTACTACTAGTCATTACTTCTACATGTCACCAATATACTTGAAAAATAGCTGTTACATCTATTGCCAACCTTGGTATATATAGCCCTATTTTTGTATTTGAGGGTTTACATGTTACTTATAGATTTTTGCCAAAGCATATTACAAAAATATCTGATATTTCTATCATAATATTAAAAAGTACTCGTTGCAGAGTATAATTGTATATGAACCACGGGTCTATGACTTGGGATCAACACGCAGATACAATGCATTCCACTGTAGAGAGAAAGAGAAAGAAAGTCGAAACAACAACAAAAAAAGCGATCGTCCCAAATTGTTAATCGGCAAACATAAAAATTGGCAGTTTTCTCAAAATATTACTCTGGCCCAATAATACCGAGGAGAAATTACCGAAAACAAAATGGCGAACGAGAAAACGGGTGTGGGTGGGGATAAAAGACCGCTTGAGATTAAGATCGAAGAAGAAGCAAAATGTATCGGAGAAGGAGCGTGCGAAATCGGAGTGTGTTACTTTCTTTTTGTTTTGGAGTCAGCAGCACTCGAGATTTGGCGAAGGGGGAAAATGGAGTCTTTTCATCAAAAAGGCACAGTTGGTAGGTAGGAATTGAATGATGGGTGGGTGATGTGCATGACACAAAAGATGATTGAAACTATTAGACCAATCACAAGATAGCTTCGTTGCCAATAGTAGAAAAAAATAAGAAATATGTAATAGCCGAGGACTTTCTAATGAAAAATCCAATAATACATTTATTGAGATTATTAATTCTATCTATCTATCTATCTATATTATTTTTATCTATTATTTTTCTCTATCTATCTATCTATATTATTTTTATCTATTATTTTTCTCTATCTATCTATCTATCTATCTATCTATCTATCTATCTATCTATCTTAACTTCTGTATTTACCAATTATTTTCTTTAACTATATATCTTTTCCTCTATCTATCTATTATTATTTTTCTTATTTTTTTATTATTATTTTTTCTCTATCTATCTATCTATCTATCTATCTATATTAACTTCTCTATTTACCAATTATTTTCTTTACCTATATATCTTCTATCTATCTATCTATCTATCTATCTAGTTTTATCTATCTATCTAGTTTTATCTATCTATCTATCTATATATATATATATACACATACATATATATATATATATCTATATAGTTTTATCTCTCTCTATATATATATAGTTTTATCTATGTAGCTCTCTCCATATATATATATATATATATATATATATATATATATATATATATATATATAGTTTTATCTATATATTCTTTCTCTATAGATAATTTTATCTATCTATCTATTCTTCATCTATCTATCTATCTTCATTTATCTATCTATCTATCTATCTATCTATCTATCTGTTTAGTACAACTCGACATAACAAGAGCATGACACCCAATAAGACTCTATTCAATGCCAATTAAAACAGAGGCTGATGATTACGAGTTTACAAAACAAGAAAGAGTTTCCCCAGTCTTCTTATCCTGTAGCTATCTGTATATGTTGGGACTTATACAACCTAGAATAGCTATATTTTATTAATGTCTCTCTCAGTTTATTGTAGTCATTGTATTTGTCTGTGAGCTCGCCTTTTTTTTTTTTTTTTTTATATCAAGCAAGGCGGGAGTGCCACTAGCACGCAAAGGGTTGCAGAGGATTGAGAGCAAGAGTAAAGAGGCGTGTTTGAGGAAAGGATACAGAGAAGGACGAGGAACAAAATCAAAGTGTCAGATGTCGATTGACACTACACTTGAATATTTGAAGATTATAGTTATCAGGGAAGCAAGTAAGAGGAAGAAAATTCCACAGACAGGAAGTGCGAGACATGAAGTTGTTGGAGTAGAAGAGACGGCTACATTTAACCGTTTCGACAGTGAAAGCGTGGCACCGAGATGCCAACATAGTAGCACGCTTAAATTCTTGCAGTCTGGGAACCAGCGAATGTAGCTCGTCGGAACAGTTGCCGTGAAAATACTTGTAAAGGAGACAGAGGGAAGCCACGGCACGTCTGTGAGAAAATGACTGTAGACGAGATGCCAGACCAGGACCTATCGCATTGCATATCCGTCCTTGGATTTTGTCGAGGACCTCAAGACTTACAGCGGGGGGGGCACCAGACCATATATGACAGAAATATATATATTTATATTTATAGATTTGAAGGATGGATTCCTTTTCATTTATCTATTTTCTGTTTCTAATTTCTGATTTAATCTAAACAATAAAATTTCGTTATAAGCAAAAAAAAAAAAAAAAAAAAAGAGAGAAAGAAAAAAAAGGAAACGGACAGAAAAAAAGAATACTGAACTGTTATGTAATATCAGTCCTCATATATGGCAGTAAATTCTGGACAATTTCTTCACAGGTGAAGAAGAGACTTAAAGCAAGAGAAACAAAGAAAAGACTACGGAACTGTTATGTAATATCAATCATCTTGTATGGCAGTAAATTCTGGACAATTTCTTCACAGACGAAGAAGAGACTTGGTGCAATAGAGATGTAGTTTATTAGAAGGATACCGACAATACCATGGACGGAGTATGTGAACAACATGCAAATTTTAAAGAACACTGGGACAAAAATAACACTTATATTTAGAAACAGAAAGATACAACGGAAATTTGAAATTTCTAGTGTACATAATGAGGAAAGGAGGCTTGAGAAATTTGCTACTCCCAGGGCAGGACATACTGAAGTCATGCGAGCTAGAGGGAAAACAGCGTGTAACATAGAGCAACGAGCTTGTGCAAATGGATGGCAAAAACAAAGAGTGGGATAGATAGAAAAAAGAACATAGACATTGCTAATAGCAACAAAGGATAGGAGACAGTGGAGAGTCATGACCATCTACGTGCTGAAGGGTCACTGAACATAAAAGAAGATTTGACACTATGCGGAAATTGGGCCTGTAAAATTATACCGTTTTTCAAAGAGAAGCAACACCAAACTAATTTGAAATTTAGAATCCTAAACTCTGGATTGTTTTCTGGGTTCTAGACCCAGAAACCCAGCTACAAGCACGAAGGAGACTCCTGCATGAGTCAGGATCAAGCGTATATGTATATATCCAAGTATTTATTTGATCGACACCCTCGATACCCATATATATATATATATATATTCATAGGTAGCCAAACCACGGCTCGCGAACCATATGCGTCTTTTTCACCTTTAATATGCCTCTCATGGATATATGTTGACTGACGTCGTTTTTTCATCACAGTTAATATAAAAAGTAAATAAGAAATATTTCAAGCTTTACAATTATTTACTGGGTAGGAACAGTTTAATGTTAATGTGTATGAAACAATAACGTAAAGTTTGTTTTGCGACTCTTAGACATCTGAACTTTACCGTATGTGGCTCTTACATTAAGCAAGTTTGGTCAACTTGATATATATATATATATATATATATATATATATATATATATATATATATATATATGTGTGTGTGTGTGTGTGTGTGTGTGTGTGTGCGCGCCCTATCTTCCTATTTTTTCTGTTATTAATTTCCAATGCCTAATATATAGATACGCTTATATATGGCTTCTGTAATGTGAAGTGGAATCGACTAAACGAGTTCAAATTCGGCGCTTGACTCTCAAAGCATCCTGAAGTCACCAAGCTACGACTTATATAGCAGGGTAGCCTGGGACATGCCGAGATTTTCGAGAGTCTCTAATAAAAAATTCTGTCCTTTAACAATCTTAGCAATTGCACCCTCATTATATATATATATATATATATATATATATATATATATATATATATATATACAGTCAAAATAACGTTTAAGTAGTATATATATATATATATATATATATATATATATATATATATATATATATATATATATATATATATATATATATATATATATATATATATATATATATATACATTGAGCACTATTATGTCACAATGTTTGGTAATTTTTATTTGCACAATTGAGTCAGCACGCACGTATACGGTCGCTAATATCGAGTTATTTCCTTTACACAACCCTATATATATATATATATGTGTGTGTGTGTGTGTGTGTGTGTGTGTGTGTGTGTGTGTGTGTGAGTGTTGTAACCTTAGGGAAGGTTCTGAATAGAATAACCACACGAATGTTGGTAATGAAAATAATATTTATGACAAGAACAACAGATATAAGATTCATCATGACGCGTAGAAGAAGTAGTCAACTGATAGGAATCAACTGAATTCCACAAGGAATCTCCAACAGCAGACCAACATACAGTATTTACTACTGTGTTTATGCAAATGGGGATATACACATTATCGCCTGTAGATATGCTACAACAATATATATATATATATATATATATATATATATATATATATATATATATATATATATATATATATATAGAGAGAGAGAGAGAGAGAGAGATACAACAAGTATATATTATTGGTTGGTGCAAAAATAATGTCATTTTGACGTTAGTTGAACGTCAAAAAACGACATTATTTTTGCACCAACCTAATAATATCTGTGATTGCATATGCACGTTTCTACATCCATTTATTATCGAGCATACAGTAAGTTGTTCTGTTTAATTATTCGTGGGAATCGCAGACATGTGAACAGACCTCCAAGTATTTTTTTGTGGTTATTTAAAATGGCAATAAATTAAAACGTCAATGGCGGGATTATGAATGGTGATGAAGTCATTTTCGAATGACGTGGAACAAAAATAAACTTTGAAGAGGGAAATTTATCGAATGAGTCGGACTAAAAAACAATGAATGCAGAACCAGAGAGAAAAAAGTTGGCGGCACTGTTGTTTTAAAAGAGTAAGGCTGTAAATCGAAAGTACACTGTTGCCATTTTGTAACAAATATTCACGTGATGTCATTCTTTTTCTACACCTTTTGTCCCTTCAGGACTTGGTTGATCATGGCTCTCCACAACTTCCTATTCTTTGTAGCTCTTAGAAAGGTACCTTTTTGCTATCTCTCTTACTTCCTGTTCTGTGAACCATTTACAAAAGCGCATTAGGTAGTTTAAACACTGTCCTTTTCTCTGTTCCTATTGCCTTAAGTATGACCTCTAGGTGTCAAACTTTCTAGGCCTTCTTTCCTCGTTATATATCCCAGAAATTTTAACTGTATCTTTCAGATTCTATGTTTAATATTTGCTCTTTACTCATGTGTTCAGTCCATGAGATTCTCAGCATCCTTCTGTAGACCCACATTTACAACATAACATATATGCGTGTTTGCGCGTGTGTGTATGTGTGCGTGTGTGTGTATGTATGTGTGTGTAGAAAGGAGATGGATTTTTTATTTATTAATCGGATAGATTTTTATTACTTAAACGTTATTTTCAGCAGATGCACGTATTTAAGTAAACACTCTGTTTATTTTATAAAGGGTATTTTTTTTTTTTTTTCGTCTACCATCTCCACAGGAAAATTCTCACTCCGTATGCAAAATCTGTTCCAGGGTATGTCTATCTAAATCAAAACCAAAAAAAAAAAAATGTATGCCGGTACATACATTGCGCCAAATAATTAATTATGATATAGATATTGTCACGGCAACTACATGCCAAATTTGCCATAAGACCTACAATTTTGTAAGTGGTCTTAAACGACATATGAAAGTGCACAGTAACAACAATCAGCTCCAAAATACATTCATCAGAAATCGTGAGCCCACATGGAGGGTGTGTCGTAAAAGTGTGCAAGTCGTTAACTGAGCTGAAAGCCTACATACGATCCCATGCTTAACCCTAGAACTCGGCTGCATGAACGCATAAAAAAATATTAATTAAAGGCATTAATTTCTCATATAAAATACTAGTACATATATATATATATATATATATATATATATATATATATATATATATGTGTGTGTGTATATGAAGAAAAAAATATACAGAAAAAAAAAAAAATCCTAATATGATTATGCTGTTTTAATGTTTAATGTCAACGTCGGACGTTTCGGTCTAATAGACCATCTTCAGGACATATTCATAAAACATAATTAACATAGACCATATACAATTCAACAAGAAAAAGACGATGGACATAAAAGCAATACCAATCCAAACAGATAACTGAAATCTTTTGTAAGATCAGCGTTAGGAATACGCTTTCACAACATCGCCCACGTGACGACGACGTGATCATGTTTAAACGGAACGCTTAACATTGAGTAGTTGAACGCAATTTTCAGTCCAAATGGACGAAAACTGAAGATTACGTCGAAGCATGAATCAGACTGTCGCCACTCAGTGTTGACCTCAGTGTCCATTCTTATATTTAAACGCTCCTTATATATTGAGCCTCTTCCCATATTGAGCAAAAACTATATTTTATCACACACACATATATATATATATATACGT